GTCTCGGATTCAAAACTTAATGGAGTGAATTTCAGCCTAATTTACTCCAAGCCCCCCAGACCCCCTCCCCCAGACGCCTCTTGGACTAAAAAAAAAAATACTCCGTAGTTGTTAAGAATTGAAGCACTGGGCGTCGCTAACATAAGGGAAAATTTTTCATGATGTTCACTATGTTCCGATCAAGAAGCCACCACTCTCATTGGCATCATACTTTTGCACATCCCTGCAGTCGTATTTTAAGTTCAATTAATACTTCATCACTTTAAAAAATAAATGAAATGTTTTCACTGGTACAGAAATACCCTTTACATCAACCTTTATACATGGATTGTCACACAATATAACCGATGTGATTGAGATAGTGAAACGAGTTATATTTATTTTTTTTTTTAAATTATACAAATGATATGTGTTGCACTATTTTTCACTTGACCAAGTCTTGTCTCACAGCTGCCTCTGCAAGCTTTTTAACGAGCCGCCATTACAAAAGTGTCTAAAAAGAATAATGTATATATATCTTTTTTGTAATGTTTGTTTTGCAATGTACATCTAAGGAGGAATGTGTTATGTAGAGTCCGTTTGGTAGCACCAAAATCGGCTGTATTGGCTGATTCTGCTGAAATTTATGATATTCTGGCTGGAGTGGCTGTTTTGGCTGATTCTGCTGATTTAAGAAAAAAATATTTTAAAAATATATTTTATTAATAAATTAAAGAAAAAATTATATGTAAAAATAGCTAAAATGGTCCTCTACAGTAACTTCAGCCAATACAGCCAGAAAAGTAACTCCAACCTTACTTTTTCGGCTTATTACACAATTCAGCGCGCGAAAGTAAAAGTTACGTGTTTGGTGAAAAAGCTGGTTGATAAGCCTGATAAGCCGAAAACAGAGTTCTCCAAACGGGCTCGTAATATGTGGATGTTGCGATCTACTCCGTATTACTTTGCCTGGCTCATATGTATATTATTATGATATGTTCCATTATCATGTGACCCTAATTAGTCTCATTCTCCCATATATATGTGTGTGCGCGGGCTAGAGTATATGTCAATGAAATACACAACTTTTGATCCGATTCATTATACATTGCTAATTTTTCTTCACAAGAGTTTATTAATTTAATAAAAATAAATACTATTTTAAAATAAGAAAAGTAATAAAATTCATGAAAACTTAGGTTCTAGATTGATAGTTTTCAATCACTTGGACCCTATATCGACACATGTCGTATTTCAGGTCCCGATTGATAAAATTTCACAAGAATGTTACTAGAAATTAAATAACGGAGATGTTGGGATAATGGCCCAGATAAAGGGCCGGCCCATTCACCCCCTAATCCAGACGAACGTCTAACCCAACGTGGCAGCCAGCCCCGACGAACGTCTGCACGAAGACAAGTGGATCAGACCCACATGTAGTTACAACGGCGACGAACGTCGACTCCAGAAACCAACCATTTGGAGCCAGTCCAATCCGCGTAACAAATCCTTTAAGGGCCAGGATACGAACGGCCCATTAGCTTTTGCAGTATCATCAGGAGCAGGCCTCCATCCCGGCTGGACGTACGTCTCCACAACTTAGGCGGGAAACTCATATTCTGGCTGGAAGCGCATTTAATGCTGGAGATTTGGTGGTTGGGACACCAGCCACACACAGCCCTCCACGTCAGCATAGCCAACTGTCCATTGGTAGTATAAATAGCAGCATTTAGATTGCGCTTACTCGCCTAGCACCATACTATACACTCTATAGAAGCCTTCGTGTTGTTCCGGTCTACGCCATCGGAGGAGAAGAAATAGTTCGCGGGAGGGAAGCTGTACGCCATAGGAGAGTTGCACGTAGCGGGGTGACACCGGGGTGCCGCTGACGTCACGAGAGATACACCGCCGCCGAGCTGCCGCCAAGCATCGCCGTCACCAAACCAGTTTCCGTCGTCGAGTAAGATGATGTGGTTTATGAAGATTGATGCATTGAGAGCGCTCCTAGAAGACTTTTAGAGTAGTCTCATTTAGAATGAACTTTGTTAGACTTCATTATTCCAAATGTTGAATTCAATAGTTACCTTAGATACATTTATGGTGGTTAGCCGTAACATCCAGTCGGGTTAGGGCTGGGTGTGGCGGTAACACGCCCCTTTTTCCTTGTTAGTGTTTAATTTCGCTGCAAACAAATTGAAAGTTTTGAATAATTAATAAAAGTTTATTATTTCTTTAAAAAAAACAGCATTTATTTCATTGTAAAGGGTTGACAACTTACTATTCTTAGGGAGTGTTTGCAACAGCTTCTGCTTAAAAAAAAGCACTTTTGGAGATGAAATGAAAAAGTGATTAGTTGTAAAAGTTGATAGTGTTTGAGAAAAAAGTGATTTTGAAAAGTAAAAGTTGGTTGTGTTTGGTAAAATAAGTGCTTTTGGTGTATAAAAAGGGGAAAAACACTTTTGACACGAAAGCCGAGAAAAGTAAAAAATTGGTAGTGTTTGGTAAATAAGTGCTTTTTTAAGCCAAAAGCTGAGAAGTGCTTTTTTTAAAGTTGTTGCAAACCAACCTTTAGTACTCTAGCTTATATTGCTCTTACTCACAGCTCTTCTACTGCCTTGTAAGACGAACGGCCGACGAGCCTTAGCAAGAGTATTGTATTGGGGAGATATTAACTGATTAATAATACCTAATCTCTTACTTGCTAGTTATTATCTCTTAATCCATCTATTTGCTTGTGGGCTAGTTTATTCATACACACATACATCACTCCATTCGAGATCTTTGGGCTTACGTATTGGACCCAAAAGTTGAAGGAATAAACCTCAACAGGAGACAAAAGATTTAAAAAATATCGAAAGTGAAACTAAAAAAGACTAAGAGGATCATTCCACCCTTACTAAAATAAACCGCTGCAACCCCGCCCCCAAGATATCTTTTTCGGCAATAACATTCATCGTTGCCGACACTGTAACTGACGATTTAACAATAGCAAGCATCATGAATGAGATCTGGATATATCGATAAAGAAGGTGGCGAATTGAAGTTCCAGATTCATGGCGGAGGCTGTTTACGAACAACAAAGAAAGGAGAACAAGATGATCTAGAGACTCAAAAATGGCCGGCCTGGCAGAGTGCCATAATTAAGTGATGTTGCATAGGGCCCTTGCTTAAAGGAGGACCTCTACATTTCATACACATGTTAGGTCCATTGGATGTTCTTTTTAAAAATTTTGAACTTGCACTACAACAAATTTCATCATTTATAGAGGCAACTCGTTGGGGCAACTTACATATTATTGCCTCTAAATACCTACTTTTGCATCAAATGGATCATGGTTGCCTCTAATTTAAAAGATTTGAGGCAAACATACTCTATTTGCTTCTAAAAGGTGCCATTTAGAGGCACACTCTTACGGTTGCCTCTGAAAAGTCCGGTTTGGAGGCACACTTTTGTGGTTGCATCTAAAAGGAGCTATTTGGAGGCACACTTTCATGATTGTCTCTGAAAGCTACTATTTGGAGGCACACTTTTATGTTTGTTTCTAAGGAATATATACTCATAAATGTCAACTCGTTTTTTTTCTTCTCACTCGTTTTTCGACAGGCATGATTCATACCAAGTACTTAACACGATTGTAATTATTTTTATAAGTATAGTTATCATAGAGTTATGATTATAGTTACAATTGTAATTGTAATTTTAAGTATAATTATAATTATACGTATTAACTAATAATAATAATAATAACAATAACAACAACAACAACAATAATAATAATAGCAATAATGATGATGATGATGATAAAAAAAACTCAATCAGATCGAAAATAATAAATTACATCTTCAAGATTCAGATGAGAATGATTTGAATCAGATCAGAACAGATAAAAAAGATTCATACCAGCATATGCCTCTAATTAAACGTTGCATAATTTTTAGAGGCAATAATTTTGGACCACTAACATTCTTGATTATCTCAAAGATGTAGTCCATATTATTGCCTCTAAATCCTCCAAATGAGGATTTTTAATCCAATGAATACCTTTTTTACTTTTGCCATTAGTTGATTTGTCTTGCGCTCTTTTGGTGAATTCTACTAATAATTTATCTTTGGCTAAAGAGTCAAATAGGCCCTTGGACTAAATTAAAGTATTCAATTAGCCCCTTATATAGGAGGTTCAGCCCGGCCATCGCCAATTGGAGAGGTTCCCGGTGGAACTTTTTGATGACATTTTTTGAGCATCGTCTGCATTAAGTCTAGTTTACCCATATCAAATTTCAGCTAATAATTGAATCGGGAAGGCAGTCAAATGATTTTCCAAAATGTACTGCGCTGTTTAACTACACAGTTATTTTCAAAAAATCATTTGATTGCCTTCCTGGTTGAATTTTTAGCTGACATCGATCGGTATGGGTAAACTAGACGTAATGAAGAAGATGCTCAAAAAATTTCATCAAAAAATTCCACCAGGAACCGCCTCAATTGACGACGGCCGGGCAGAACCTCCTATATGAGGGACTAATTGAACACTTTAAGTTAGTTCAAAGGCTTATTTGATCCTTTAGCCTTTATCTTTAAATCTAGCCATGAATAATTGTAGGCAGCGAAAAGATTTTTCAATTTTAAAATTTTTAATTTTATCAATTAAGGACGTGAAAGGTTGATTAACTATTAATCTAGAATCTGAAAGATGAAATTATTAATATAAGGTTTCAATTAGAGAAAATATGATCTAAGGTTTAAATTCATGATATTTAAAATATTTTTAAATAGGTAATTTTTAAAAATATTTATAACTTTTATATATCAATAAAATATGAAGAAATAATAATCAGATATCGGAATAAAATAAATAAAAATTACTTATATGTGTAAATTTATGATATTTTGGGATTTTGATTGAAAGTGTTTTTGAAAGTCTTACTTATACTTATCTGTAATTTTCTTATTGGGTAGTGGGGACCTTAAATTTTTAACTGATTATTAGCCGCCTCATCTTTTAGCAATTCCCGCTTGGTTAACCCTAATTCAATCTTCGTCCCTTATTCAATCTCCGTCCAAAGTGTTCAATCGCTATAAGCGGCTAGCAAAAGAGACAGACCCCCCTGCCCTGCATCGATGGCATCTCATAAATGGCGGAGCATCTCATCAATGGCGGAGTTTTCAATTCGATTGCAACGGAGGACGCACAACGAAGGACGACCAGAAAGAGACACCTCAGGGTCGGCAACGGGGGGGGGGGGGGGGCTTCTGACTAGACAGGGTCATGGAGTAGGTGCTGTGGAAGGCAGATTGCGACCACACCCCAGAGGTGGCGAGACCGTCGGGTCGAATCCTACCCCCGATGCGACACTCATCGAACCGAGGAAGGCGGCGTCTGGAATTTGGAGGACGACATCAGCTTCCCCTCGGCAGGCTTACCCAACTGCTTGGTGACCTAGGCCCCGTGCTTCTCCTTGTGTGACAGTCCTGAATTGTGAATTGAGGAACGACGGATCCTTTTTGACAGGTCAAGGAGGCATTTCCAGAATTGACCGACACAGAGTCAATAGGACTTATGGTAATTTCGAGATGGAACAACAGCAACACAGACGGGAAAGAGGTATTGGTAATTAAAATGTTCCTTCTTTATGGTCTGCATACAATCTTTTATCTCATTCGGATGGGTTTGAAATTATAATTTTTTTATCTTTTTGTTTTAATATTCTTGATTACAATGATATCTGTATTTCTAAATCAATATATGGTAATTTATGTGCTATTAAAAAAAGATTATGTAAGATCTGATTTTCTCTAGTTGATAGGAATATCAAATGATTTTGATGCTCTATTCTTAAAGAGGGTGATTTTTTATTAGCCTAGTTTCTTATCAAGTTGGGCAGAATTCAACAACAAATAGTTCACTCTCTTGTTAGCTAGTAGAATACTCCTAGTTTTTAGTATATTGATGTTTTGTTTTTTAAGCCTTCATTCTTGATTTCTTGATTTGTAGGCCGCTTCTACACTCAAGACATACTCTAAATAATGTCAATGTTTTCTCATGCCTTAAAGAGGGTGTGTCTGGTTCCAACGTTCTACTTTTCAAACGTATTGAAATTCTTTGGATATGCTATTCATTGTATTTTACATTATAGCAGATTCACATTTTAACTAATTTGGGTTAGTCTTTACTCAGTCGGGATCTGATCTTGCAGAGAAACAAAGAGATTGAGATGATAGCATTAGTCTGAGCATCTTGATCACATTAATTTTGACCATTACTTTACATTATGCTCAACCCTTGTTGGAATACAATGCTTCAAAAAACTATGACAATTTAGTGTAACTTACAATATATGTATTTTTTGTTGTTTTCATTTCATGTTTAAGCAATGATGGGTGTAAATTGTTGTTTTCCGTTTCAGCTCATAGTTATTGGAGAGTCTGTAAGTGCAGTCCGGAAGCAGGAATTGGATCAAATTAAACATCTATCTATACATTTGTTTTTTATGCAGTAAGTAATATTGATTGTTAAATTTTGAAATTTTGCACTTTTAAGGGGTTTCTTCAAATAACCATTTAATAAGTTCTTTTTAAGTTGCAGTTGTTATATTGATTTCCTTAATGTCATATAGCTATTTTTATACACAGTTATAATAATGTTATACTTTGGTAATTTTTTTTCAGATTTGTTATTAATACTTAGTTAAACTGGAAGTTTCTTTTATTTGTTTTGTTATCAACTGGAAGATGAGAGCAACCCAGATTTCTGTTTGAGGTCTCTAAAAGAATTATAAACTGTTTGACCACTGCTATGCAGCAGCCAAAATTGTAGACTTTAAGCATGAAGATGCCATTGCTCACCTGCAAATTGTAGACCTGCAAATACCTGAATTTAATAGTTGCAGTTATATTGTTTTGCAGGTTGAATGTACTAGTTGACTAATGTGTAGCAGATTGGATATACTAGTTGCTACTTCTAACTTCATCTATTTTTTTCGGTGTAGACTAGATGGCCATATAATATTTTTTTGCAGTAGAAATAAAGAAGCTTGTGTGAGCTGAAAGTAATCTGTCCATTATATTATTGGTTGGATCACTTAGTGAAGGAGAGTTATTGTGCAAGTAAACAATTTTAAAAATGAAGTCAGAATTATGAAGGGGTTATGGAGAAATTCTTCAAACTTATGAGAGTTGATTTTTTAGGTTAATTGAGAATGAAGTATTGCATTAATCTTTTTCATTGTGTTTTTGTTAATAATTTTTCTAAAGTTGTTAAATACTTGTATATAATTTACAATATACTTCGCAATAGGTTGAAGAAGAGCAGAGCAAGATGATGAAGATGATGATGATGATAAAAACTAAGCAGAATGTCTACAGTTTACATTAATGTGTTTTCTTGAAGCTAGCTTTTGGGTCTGTCCTTGTTAAATAATGTTTTAGTGACTGTAGTTAGTTCCACTTTACGTCTTTACATGTTATACATGGGGATGTTGTAAATTAGATTAAACAAATTATTTAAGTAGTTACTCCATTCAAGTATTTAAATAAAATTATTTTCATATTTTGTGCTATACTTCAACTGATGCTATGCTTTTGTAAGTTATTTAGAATAAATTTTGGTGTATATAAAGTTTGGCATAAAATAAATTAATTTCCTCAAAAAGCACGTTGTCCAATTAGTTCAGCTTCGACGGTTGCCTCTAAAAAGCTTTCAATACAACACTTACAGTTGCATCCAAAAATTTTAAAATCAGTGTATAGTAATGCCTCTAATAACATCTTGAGTCATTCAATAAGGATGCCTCCAATAACATTTTGAAACAACATAATATGGTTGCCACTAATGACATTTCGAAGCACAAAAGTATGATTGTTTCTAAAGATACATTTTTTAGAAGCAAGCCATTATTGCCTCTAAAGGATGTCTTTAGAGGCAACCATCATTTTGCGACGGACTTTTTGTTGGCAACCACTAAGTTGTCTCTAAAGAGCATTAGAGGCTATTTTGCTATATTTAGAGGCAAATAAGGTATGCCTCTACAAATCAATTTTATTGTGGTGTTGCTGTCCACATCTCTAATCTCTACGCCTCCATAACTTCTGCAAGTGTAGGTTGTCCAACTGTCCAATTGGGGTTGTTTTGCTCCATTTGTATTCTACTTATTACTCGTATTTGTCAATGTAGTCTACTTTTCAATTGTACACTTCATATGAATATGATTGTATTTTAGATTGGGCAACGAGTGATTTTACGTCTGCCTAGAAGACTCATGTACTACAATAACCTAACTTTAGTTGCACATGCATGAGACACATGTGCAACCTATTTTGTGATAAACAAATTACAGTTTGGGCTATGAATATTGATCTTGTCATATAAAATATTGTGAGCCTTGATATTTGGGTAATGACCTCGTGACGAGTATGATTTCGTTGCACAAATAAATGTGTGACGAAATATGTATATTGGGCAACATAATATTTCGTTACCCAAACTTATTTTTCTTGTAGTGGAAAGAGGAAGTATAACATTACATTTTTTTATTGATACTATATTTAATATTTTAGGCCTCAACTTTGAACAGGGCCCCTGATATCCTAGGGTCGGACCGGGAGAGACTCATCATCATCGATCATCAGCTACCAACCACTATATATATTGCAAACCTTATCTTGATGCAATACTTCCTCATCCCATTATATTTTTTTTCTTTTTTCTTTTTTCATCTATCATATTTGATTTGTCTCATAACATATTTGGTAATATGTATTTATGCGGTTCTAGTTGATTCCTACTATATTCACACTATTAATTCAACGTTGTTACATCAAACCACCGCATAAGTCTACTTTTCTTGATAATAGCATCACTCCCTTTTGACCCAATTTTAGAGGCACAAAGGTAGTATATACTCCATAATTCGCAAAGACAGTTCAGGAATCTAGGTTTGACTAAAGTGAAAAATAACTATTAGGCTTAAACATTAGTGGGTGACTAAATATGAAAAGTAATATATTACACTAAAAATTTAAAAAAAAAATCAAGTTGCTTTGGGCTTGAGCCCATTATAACCCAAATATTGATAATTCATCACCAATCGTTTTCTTCCGAAAGTGACTAGCACAACACTCATCAGTATCATCAAAAACATTTTTTTGGGAAAAAAGTAAATAAGATTGCATTGATTACATCATTATGAAGAACATCAACAATGTACTAGGAGGAAAAACTAATCATAAACAACGTTCACACATAGAACTCGGTATTCATGCTAATGGTGTATGAATATTTAAATGCTAGAAGGCAACACTTGTATAGGTCATATCCCTATCTCTAATATCATCGGCCAGAAGACCACAACAAGAGAAACTTGAACCACCAAAATACAATGTTTAAAACTAAGAAGTTATACTTAAACAGAGCTTGCTTTTCTATAGTAATAATTGGAATGAAAATACAATATGCATAACATTGTGATAAGAATAAGTTAAGTTCGAACCTAATGTTTATTCTGACACCATTTTTAAATTCATATCATTGAACTTAAATCAAATGGTAGAAACGGGTACTTTTGAAATAAACATGTCAAGCAAGCTAAGCAATATTGCGATTTTTTACACGAGAGATGGAATTTATTAGTCGAGCTGAATGTGAGTATCGTATGCAAGACCGGGCTGCCATTCCGCCGGAAGCACGTCGGGAATCTCCACCCACTTGGTGTTTCCGTACAGGCTTGTTTGGAATCGGAAAGAAAGTGGCCCATTTCGTGGTGGGTTTTGGTGGTCAAAAACTCCTCCATATACCCTTCTCATGTTGCTCCACTCCTTGCTATCTCCCTGCATCATCATCATATATACGGATCGGAGTTCATATGGACCAATCAAAATACAGTAATTGAATTATTTAAATATAAATTAAAAAATGATATAGTGATTAAACTATGAAATGAATGATGGGTATGATATTCCATTTTTTAATTTGTGTACTGTAGTTGTAACCATTTTACTAAAATCATAATATTTCAATTTAACAAGAAAGAATAACCGATTTCAAAATAAATTCACATTAGTACTACTAATTTATCACCCCCTTTAGTAGCTAGAAGGAGATTGCTATAACGTTATTGTACCTGCCAAATTTGGGCTACTAGAATATCAGATAATCCACTTTGGTAGATTGGTATAATGGCAATGTAATTAGGGAAGCTGCTTTTCTCATGAACTTGGATCATCAGATTGTAGCCATTATAACGGCAGGGAATCCTCCGGTATTCAACGTCGACCACGCCGAATGCCAAGAGCTGATTCGCCGTTCCCGGAACCGCCATGTCTGAGTAGGCGCTAACGCTGAGAATAAAACCTGTTCTGTCTCCTTCACCATAGTCAGTCACAACTATTTTTGTTCCTTCATTGTTGCAATGTGTTGGAATCTTGCACCTAACCTGTTTAACCAATTATAATACAATAAACTTTTAAAGTTACAAAATTGTGGAGTGAAAATGTGGAATTCCAAAATAAGAACGCTACATTTTTAAAGCAGAAGTCGAATCAAAATCAGTTTTCACCTAAAAAAAACTGATTCTATGAATAAATTAGAGCACCAGAAACATTTCGATCTGCATTTTCACTCAAACACTTCAACTTCTACTTCTGCTCCTTGAAGGAGCAGAAACAGTTTTAAGAATCAGATTCAAACGCCCCTTAGTTTGAATTATTTCAAATCTTTTTTAGGTAAAGGAAAAGAATATCATTATGTTATATGAATAGAAAAGGATAAAGATGATCGACCTGATAGCATGCACCGCAGCCACTTCCATTCATGTAAAGCCTGGAGACGCCACTCACTTTGCCACCATTCACATAGTGCCCGTACTCACCAAACCCACACGCTCCACCTTCAAATTCATTTTCAATTGATTGAACTATTAATGAGCATCATTACGTATATCTTTTCGAATTGTTTTTGAATTTAAAATCACATATATTTATATAACTCATCATTAGGAAAATTGTTGTTAAATTACTAAAACTATGCGTTTTTTATTCAAATATAAGAGATTAAATGATTTATCTTCTTTTCAATACCACAAGCAGCAGTTGGCTCTTATGAGCTTCCCAAATAGACCCGCCCATAAATTCCTACTTTTTATCTATTGTACTATTTAAAAGGTAAGCTGTACGTTTCATAGAAATGCCCTATATATATATATAAACTTTAAATTTTATGCACTCTTTTGTGTCCTTTTTATGTGACCACAATTTTTATTCAATATACGAAGTAATACTTATTTGAACACGAAAGATTATAGTTCTGATATGATTATATGAAGCTCATTTCTTATTATAAAAAACTCACATTATCTTTTGGATGTATCTTATGTATGGTACATCCGGATATATAATACATCAAGTTGAGGTGGGTTAACAGCTAATTACATCAAAATACTCAAGGCATTTTTGAAAAGTCAACTTTATTTTCTATTCTACCTAAAACCCCGTGAAGTCAAATTAGGAACTCAATTTCGGGACAGAGGTAGTACAAAACTTCCTTGACTTTTCATACATAACTATTTATCCTTGTCTGATTCTAGCTAATTATTCCAGACTTCTAACTAAACTTTGGTGCTTAATATTGCTTATGAGGTATCAAGAATTTAACTGGAAGCTAGGATCAGGAATAAGCAAAAACAAATTTATGTTCCAATTATGGACAAAGCATAGATATAAATTTAATGTGAAATTGGTACCATAAAATAATACCTGATTTAATTATGAGGTCAAAAGTATTATTAATTCATTTATTTAGAAGGGAATAAATAGTAGATACGTATAATAAAAAATACATACTGGGGTTTCCATAGCATTCTGGACTCCCAAAGTAGGTAGCTCTCGTGTGGATGGAATTTTCTAACTGCTCGCTACAGCGTATGATGGGTAAAAGCACTATACTACACAGAATGCAGAATACTATAATCCCTAAACCCATTTCTTATACGTAGCAATAATCCAAATTGATGTAATATATGAAAATTTAGAGTACTAGTAATTAAGAAAAGGGTGGTCGAAGATAGGGAAGAGATGAAGAGTATAGCATATAATTGGGGCATATTTATAGTAATTATCAAATGTTTGGGAAGCAGCCACCTTGACGGGCAAATTGAATGGGCGATTGTAGTATGATTTGTTAATTGTTGATAATAATCGTTATCTTTTTCATCCACTATGGAGATTTGTGGTTGGGTTTTGGGTCCATCAATATATCTTGATAATCAAGTTCATCTAGTAAAACGAAATTCAAATTATGATGTTTAAATTAGGATTGTTTTTTGTCTAATCTAGTGCATGCGTTTGGTGACCTGTTTATCGTCCAATGAACAATGAATACACTAATTTTTTATTTCACGTGCTAAATTATGTAATTGTCAAAATAAGATTGGAGTTACTTTTTTGAACCAATTGGATAAAGTTACTCTAGAGGATATTTTAGTTATTTTTCATACATCTTTTTCTTTATTTTATTAATAAAACATATTATAAATATAGTTTTTGTCAAACATTCCGGGAGTCAAAGAC